AGGCCAATGGGTCGTTCTTTCGGAGACAGAGGGAGTAGGTTATAACATCTTTACATTGATAAAAGTATATAAATATGTTGGGTGTGTTATTTCAAAACATTGTCAATATAGACTAGGATTTTGTTGGATACATGTCAATTTATTATTTTTATATTTCTTTTGTAATAAGTATATTGAGATATTCAAGTTTCAGTAGTGTATTGAAAATTATGGAGAAAAAATAAACAAATTAGACAAATAAAAAGAAACAAATTAAGGTAGTATATACAAATAATGTCACAATGTTTATTTTTACCATACTCTGTATTACTCCGTAACTTTTTGTAGTTTCTAGCAACATATTATTAGTGATCAATATTAATCATCAAAGTTTACATTAAAATACCCCTCGTATCTTACCTTTAAATAAAATTATCATAGTTTTATTTTGGTAATATAACAATTTATCACATTTAACCTTAAAAAAGGGATTAGCAAAATTTTGAAAAAAAAAACCAATTTGATTTTTGATTTTTATTTGATGTCGGCATAGCACATAAAATAAAGAATCTTAAAGGTAGAATAATTAATTCCAAATTTTGGATATTTTTACTCCAAAACTCCAAGCAACTAAACAATCTACAAGCTAGTCTTGAAAAATTACTTTACTCGGTAAAAAAAGAAGTCGGTAAGTAGGTCATTTTATGATTTAGTTAAATAGTTTGGTCGAGCCGTTTGATTGGATGTATATGTATAAAAATAAAATAAAATTTGGTTAGTACAAACAACAGTTTTTTAAGAGCCAAAAGTTCTTTTGTTTCATTTAGTTGAATATAAATGGTCTATTGTCTTTCCAATAGAATTAGAAGACATGATAGTTTATGTATAATTTTATATAAATAAATAAAAATTTGTTTAAGCACGTATGCAGTTTGTCGTTGTCGCTTTCTTGCATTAAATTTTAAATCTAATGTGTGTTACTCCCTATATTTTAATTTTTATTTTATTTTCTGGTGAAAATCTAATGTGATTATGTCTACATTCTGAGTTTGTACCAATCACTTGTCGCATGCATGCGTATGATTGAGATAGATTAATTCAGTGGCTACTAGCTAGTTTTCGGCTCCGAGCAATACCTTATATAGTCATATTACTAGTTTAGGTACTGTGCGATGCACGGGGATTACTAATAAAATATATGAAAATAAAATAAGTTTTATTTTATGTGACATTTAACCTAATTTTTTCTATATAATTTTTCAAGAAAATAGACCAGTAACTTATAAATCAAAATAGACCATTGAAATTTGTTAAAAATGGAAAAAAGACCTATTGATTTTTTTTTACTTTACAATGATTTTATTATTTCAATAATATAGAAATAAGATCTTTAAAATTTGTATGCATAAGATATACTACCTCCGTTTTTTTTAAGTTGATACCGTTTAACTTTTATGATAGAGTATATAACATATTCCTAGGTCTCAACCATCAGCTTAAACTTTTGGTTGAGATGGTCCACTAACATTTTACATTATTCACACACTACACTTTGACTCGTTTTTGTGATTTATAGATACGATAAAATATAATCGTGTGGAATATTGTTTGAATCGTCTCAATGTATATTTTATTAATATCCATTTTTTTTTATAATTTTACAATGTTGATAATTAGAGATAGTAAACGTTAAAAACATGTGTTGGCAAGCGTGATAATAGAAATGTGTTAATTAAAAAAAACGGAGGTAGTATATGTTTGTCCATTTGCCATTCTCATAAAACTGTCTTCATAAGCAAATTCGACTAAAACTTGAATAACAAAGAATGTTAACAATTGATTGTATCATGCCACCCAAATACATAAAATGAGAAAATTATATACTTATAGCGGTTCAATTTTGATTATTTATAATCTATTATTATAATTTCATAGTAATAACAAAGAATGTTAATAATGGATTGTATCATGCCACCTCATACATAAAATGAGAAAATATTAGTAATACTTAAAATATTCTTATAGCGGTTCAATTTCGATTAGATTATCTAAAAAAAATCTTAGGTCTTTTTCCCAAATATTCCCTACCACATACAAATACGATAAATATGAAAATATATGTTGAGTTGTTAAGGAAGAAATATGGTTGCAAAGTAGCACAACTTGTTAAATGCAAAGTATTTTCTAAGAAGTCTTGACCCAAATAAATTGTGTGAAAAGATATGTCTAAATTCGTAAATTGTACAATACATTTTTCCAAATATACATCATATACAATATAATATAAATGATGTGAATAATATAAAAGAATATTTAATTTAATATATATGGTTAAAATATATATGTCTGTAAAAAGTAATATAATATTGTGTATATATATGTAGAATATTTTCTCAAAAAACTTGACAAAATAAGATATGTCATATCGATTTTTAAGAAATAGTTATTATATTTTTAGATTCTCTAATATTTGTATCTCAGATCTATTTTTTTTTTTATTTTTTTTTTCTCCATTTGTCTAATTTGCCGGTGTGTATTTTAGTATATAGTATTACATGTTCATTGTTGGTGTGTATTTTAGTATATAGTATTACATGTTCTTCATTTTCCGTTTTCAAATATCATTTGTAAGAGCTTGTTGTGAAATAAAATTGCGCACTTGCTCTAATATACAACATAGCTTATTGCATAATTTTATAGTTATTGAACTTGCGGTTGTAGATTCAATCCTTGTATTAAACCATTACAAATTATAAATTTAGTGGTGTCAAAATACTCAAAAGCTGAATCAAAATTGATTCAGATCCAAATTTTGAATTACATGGACATTGGACATGATTATTAACTTATTTTTATGATCTTAATTGTTCTTGTTGTTTTTTACTAAGATCCTGTTCTTTTGAGCTTCTAGGCAGAGTACAGCAGGAGTCAGCAGAACAGAGCAGAGCAGAGCCAAATCGAGCAGATTTTATTATTATTATTATTATTATTATTATTATTTTATTATTATTATTATTATTATTATTATTATTATTATTATTATTATTAGTAGTAGTAGTAGTAGTAGTAGTAGTAATAGTAGTAGCAATTATTATTATCGCATTATTATTATAATCATTAAATATTATAATTAAATATTAATTATTATTATTATTAATAAATATTATTTATTTATTATTAATAATTATTGTTATCTTTAAATATTAATCTTTATTATAAAATCAATTATTATTAATTATTATTATCATCACCGTAACCTCACGCCACACCCAACCAGCCACCACCCTAACCTACCGACACCACCCAACCAGCCACCACCCAACCTGTAGCTGCCGTGCTACGAGCCACCTCCCCTCCCTTGCTGCTGCCTGTAGGTCACCACCCCTCCCCTACGACTTCTCTGCTACGAGCCACCACCCATCCTCTACTGCTGTCCTGCTACAAGCACCCTGCTCAGCCATGGCCAGAAGCGCAACCTGGCGGCGGGGAACTCCACCGTACCAGCCACGTAGCTTTAAATCTAAGGTTACAATCGTCGATCGTCATTTCCTTTCACATGAAACATTGGGGGCAGACGTCCGTACCCAATAGTTTGTGAAAAAGTTATATGCCCCTAGGTTCAAGATGCATCCAAAGGTATTTTCTGCTCATTTGATTTTTTTTGATTAATTTTAAATATTAAAATGAGCAAATAAAAAAAAATTAAATGAGCAAAACAAAAACTACTCTTGGTTGCACTTAACTCTATGTGTACCCATATATAAAAGGTGTTGGCATTTTCCATTTTAAGAATTCCCCTTTAATGATTACGTTTAAATTATACCTTTGGTTAAAATCATATTTTATTTGCACATTTCTCTTATACATGCAACTTCCCATGCAACTATAGGTACCCATTTATCAAAATATTTTCATAATTTAATGACCAAACATAACCTTATTTTACCTACTTTCAATGCAACTATTCTCATTTTCAAAGTTAATGTTAATGTCTTAATACTTAATATATCATATATGCAGTGGCGATTCTAGTATGGGTTCAGCTGAACCCATACTAGATCTGGAAAAAAACGAATAAATTTTCTATAAAAAAATAATAATTTATAAAGGGTTAAATTTTAAATTATGCGCATAAATATAATACACAACATGTGGACTGCTGGTTAGAGCATTACTTTTAAGGAGAAAAGTCAGGGGTTCGATACCCACAAACCCCAAATCTCGGTTTTTTTTTCCTTTTTGTTTTTTTTTTTTTTACAAAAAAAACTTATCTCAAAATCTCCAATTCCCCCTAAAACCCAATTATACGAAGCATCACCCTCACAGTCTAACACCCTTCAATTCGTGAACTTTTTTTCATATCTTGAAAGTTTGTATCTGTTCTTCAATTTAAGTTTAGCTTTTAATTTTTAATTTTATTTTTAAGTTTTAAATTGTTATTGAATTCAAAATTTGTTATATAATAATATTTTTAGTGATACTGTTAATTAAAAATTTGAAGTTGTGTTGATTGGAATTGTAAAGTTGTTAATTAATAAATGGGTATTTGGGTAAATGATGTGAATTGTGAAAATGTGAAATCAGAATTCGTGAAGTAGAAAGTAGAATGTTAATGTGTATATATTTTGGAATTGTGTTTTATAGTTTGGAGATGAAAGGATTAGAATATTTTTGGAAAGAACGTGTGTCAAAATCGCAAAAATCGTAGAAAGTCGAGTTTAATTGTAATTTTGTTAAACTTTTTATTGTGTTTTTTTTTTTTTATTGTTGTTGTACATGACATATATTGTGCACACTCGAATTAGCAAATGCAAATTTTATTTTGAATTATATGATACTATTTGATATCCGGTATTTGCTTGGAGAGTCCGAACCCTTAACAAGCAATTCCTGGAATCGCCACTGCATATATGTGACATTTAATCATTGCTTTTCATAATCTTATTTTCTTTACCAATCATGAAAATCACAAGCAAACATAATCTTCTTTCAAGAACGGAGGGAGTGGTTTTTTTTAAAGGGTATATGTAAGCCATTAGGGTTATATATAAGCATTAAATATACATTATAAAATAAAATTAAGTTAGGAATTCACGACAAAATCACGCGCAAATTGGTGTAATTAAAAGCTTCTTATACATAGCCTTAAGGGTTATGCTTATAATATCATTTTTCTTTTTTTAAAAGTGAAATTACTTAATGTAAAAATTAAAATTTCTAATTCTCTCTCTCTCTTTTTAAAGAGAATTCTGTTTTCTTAACTTCAGTTCAGTTCAGCTCCAATCAATTCAGTTACGTTCAACTCCTAATTTCCTTCTCTCATACAATAGCTCCCAAAACTTGATTGGAGTATGAACTAGACCCGACATAATTAGACTCAACCCAAATCCTATCCAACGACCCGAATGGGCACCTCCAGACTCGAGCTGATCATTTTGGCCCGACCTAACCAATTTGCGTTTCTACCCCCTCTTTCCTCCATTGAAGCGTACTCTGAATTCTTCATTTCTCTCCTCCATTGAAGCTGCTTCTGAGGTACGGAGCATGATAGTTTATATATCTAAATTATCGAATATCAGTTTCACAATCAGTTCTACACTTTCGTTGGTTTGATTAATTGTTAGTATAGTTAATTTAGGGTTCGGATTATTGAATAATTACCCGACCAATTTAACTTAATTTTTGGAGTTTACTTTGATAACTAGATAATTCATATTTTGGTGCTAATATGGTGTAAGCTTTTGTTGATACAGGCCTTTAATATCAATGTTTTGGTTTCGTTAATTTTTAATTGAATTTACTGATTTGAGTTCAGACATTGTATAATGTTTATTTGATAATTTGTTCTTAATTTTCTTATTATTTTAATATTTTTTTTCGCAATACACTATACACATAATGACATAAATGTTGTGAAGTGGGTAGATTACTCTTATAAATCAAACATCTTTGAATAAAATCTTGGTCAGTTTGGGAGTAGGAATTTCATTTCAAATTATGGATTTGGATTAATTCATTTGTTTGGAAAATTCAAGAATTTGCATTTGTATTTGCTTCAATTCCCTGACATTGAAAATTGCGACAAATTTAGTGGATTTCAAATTCTTTGTGAAATCCTGTCATTTACAAATCTCGTTCCATGAGTTTAATTTAATTTCTTTCCTTACTAAGATGATCTTAATTTGGTGTCAAACTAATTTGTACCTTTAGAAATGATTACTTCAATTTATTTCATTTGTTTTGGCAGGAGATGGCAGAATTTTTCTTCAGGAATACGATAGGTGAAATTAGGCCAACAATGTTTTTGAGTAAAATATGTTTGTGGGTTCTATCACTTGCTTCAGATTTAGTTTCGGGTTAACATGTCCTTTTAGCCCAGATTGCATTGCATTGGTTTTGATCCTGTACTCGTAAATGCCTCACAAAACCCTCGGTACAAAAAAATGTTTTCCAATTCTCTCTTTTCCAAAATTATCAAACAATCAAATTCCTCGTTCTTTCATCATCTACTCCCACAGTTCACACTTCACAGGACATTCATTGATGCCAGAATCAAATGGGTTCGAGATCCATTCCTCGATTTTGCAGTTGAGCGAGAGAAAAACCTCCGCCATTGTTGCTCCCTCAAAAATCTTCTCCTTTCTTCCCCTTCTTACTCTCTCCCTATCTCCCTTGCCTCCCTCCATAAGTCTCGCTTAAATCTCCCTTCACACACCACTGCACTCTACTTCTTCCATCGATACCCTTCTCTTTTCACTCTTTCTCCTCCCAATGTCAAGCTCACCCCTCAATTTCTTACCCTTCACAAGGAAGAGCAGGAGATTCATGATTCAATGTTGCAAAAAGAATCCGCTGTTCAGAGGTTAGTGAGATTTTTAATGATTGCTCGAAGTTGTAGAATTCCTGTTAGTGTTATTGATGATTTGAAATTTGATCTGGGTTTGCCTGATAATTATGTTCTCGATTTTGTTTCGTATTTTCCCGAGTATTTTAGGTTGTGTAAGTTAAAATGTAGGGAAATTGGTGACGTGGGTAGTGATAATTGTGAGAATTTGGGGGGTTTTGAAGTTGGATTGGAGTTGATTAAATGGAGGAAGGAATTGGGGGTGCCGATGATTTTGAGGAAGGAGTTTGAGGATGATTTGGGGTCTAAAAAGGGGAGGGTTGTAAAATTTCCATTAAATTTTCCACCAGGATTTGATTTGCAGAAGAAGGTGAAGGATTGGGTTGATGAGTGGCAATGTTTGCCTTACATTTCACCTTATGAGGATGCATTTCATTTAGCGCCTCGAAGCGATCAAGCTGAGAAATGGACTGTGGCTGTGCTCCATGAGATTCTGAGTCTATTGGTTTCGAAAAAGACTGAAATGAGAAATATCTTAAGATTAGGGGACTATTTAGGTTTTGGGCTGAGGTTTAAAAAGGCAATTGTTCATCATCCGGGGATATTTTATGTTTCAAATAAGATTAAGACCCAGACAGTGGTTCTTAGAGAAGCTTTCAGGAAAGATCGGCTGCTAGAAAACCATCCTTTGGTGGGTATGCGGCACCGGTATATTTACCTTATGAACAAATCCAGGAAAGGAAGAAAACCTGTTAAAAACTTAAGTTCTGGATAAGGCTTGCAGATGAGTAGGTCTGATTTTGACAGAGGCACGAAATGTGTTTCAGAAGAATGAGAACAACATCAACACACGTGACAAATGTGTTTCAGAAGAATGAGAACAACATCAACACATGTGACAAATGTGGTTTGAATGTTGGATTTTGGTTATTGGTTATTGATGACAATTTTATCAACACAGGGGTGGGAGTGAGGTGGAGTGCATAGAGGTGAACATATGCGATGACTGTGGTTTGAATCTTAGATATTGGTTATTATGCCAATGTTATCGCTGCAGGAGTGGGGGTGGGGTGGTGGAGTGTATAGTGGTGACTGACGTAGATAACATGGATGTTACAAGAGGCCTATTTACTTGTGGAGTGTAAGGTGGTAGTCAGTTATGCTATGGCCCTGGCCTGAATTGTTTACGTCTGAAATGGCCAGTTTTTTCTCGATAATAGGGCATGTTACATACCAAGTTTTTGGTTTTGTGCAACCCTCATGCGCTTTAAAAGAAGACCTTGAGTAACAGAGCAAGCATCTAAAATTTGTGATGCAGTTGGGACTTGGGAGAGATACCGCCTAACCGAGGTCAGTGCAATTACACAGAGGTTAAACCAACTAGCGGAGGCAGAAGCCAGAAATTCAAGTCAGAAAATACTTAGCTGGTCCTTGTAATTGCCATAGAGTTTGTAATATACTCCATAACCTAATTTATCCATCATTCTTAGATATTTACTCTTTAAGTTTATGTATATAAATAATGAATTTTGGTCATACACATAATTCTGGCTGACCTAACAAAAATCTGTGCTGGGGATTTACAATTTTCTGGTCATAGATGCATGTCCATAAAAGTTACATTCAATACACAATTACTACCTCAGCTTCTTGTTTGTTGAACTTTTGTACAGTTTTTAATGCACACCTCTGAACACAACTATCTTCAAGTACGAATTACTATATACTAAAACAAAATTAACATTTTGAAAGCAAATGAAGAAAACCAAACATGATTATGTTACTACATTCAATACATGGTCTCTTGTTAGCTTGCTTGCTTGAACGCTTAAATCCCAAAAGTGGGGTCGGCTACATAAACCAACACGAGGACTTTTCAGGATGTCATCCATCCTAGTACTATTCTTAATCGTTGTGGCTCATGTCAAGCGATGTGACAAAGTTATACACTAACTATTAGTGGCTTACCCTCCTCCTTTATTCAGGCTTGGGAAAATTCACTGACGAAGTGGCTTACCCTCCTCCTTTATTCAGGCTTGGGAAAATTCACTGACGGAGTTATATATGGTCTCTCCTCAAATAAAGATAATGGGACAAACAAAGAAAAGAGAAAGTAATAGTGTAATATATCGTTGAAATTATCTAATAAGAATAGCTTTAATTTTTTTTAATTAACCTTTCCACTTAATTAGCACCATCACCATAATACGTTAATGGTAGATATATTCTTAAAATCTCAGACAGTGGAGGACAAATCACTTATGATAAAGCACAACTAGATCTTAAACATTAAGAATCGATCTCATTAAGGTACAAGTACAACTTACATGCAATTAGTAGTTTTTTTTTTTAAATTAAAAAAAGAAAGGAAATTAAAGCATATATTTTTCTTGTTTTGATGATAAAAAAAGTGGCTTTTACTTTATATTAAAATCCATAATCAGTACAGTACTAAAAATTTAGCATACGAGATTACAAGTACACACAATGACTCAATGAGAACTTTATTCATATTGTCAACTTTTCTCAACCGATTGTATGGGGTATATTCTCAAATGAACATGCAAGCCATTCACAAAGAAGTCTCTAGGAAGAAACTACTCAAGAAAGGAAAAAGGTTATAGATAGCCTCCTTTTAGTACACCTACTATATTATTGTTCATAAGGGTGTGAACACGATCAACAATGGAACTTATTTATATGTATGCCCATCTTATTGTACTACTTGCCTCTAAAGCTGAGCAAGGCCGGGGTGGGTCAAGCAGATCTATGTGTTATTCCTAAATAGGCCAAGGACTACATGTCATGTTCATGGTTTAACCCAGTGTGTTTGTGTCAAACTTCGAAAAAACTAGTCATGCACAACCCATGCATAATCCATTGCCGCCGCATGGTTTGTGCTAGACTTACAAATTTACAATGAGTTCATACTAAGTCGAGCTAATTTCTTATTGGGCTAAGTGACCTGCATGCTACTAGCTTGATTCATATCCAACTCTACTTGCCTCGTTTATCATTTTCAATTTGCGTTTACTCCACCTTATTGTCTTATACTTCCTCCGTTCTATTAATATTGCAACAATGGACTTTTTGCACTATTCATCACTCTTGTTTGACCATATAATATGAGTTATACGTTAAGCAAAATATAGTCAAGTGAGATCTTGTTGGATTCGTCTTATTTAATATTTTCACAATAGCAACTTTTTATAATTTTTACTCTTACACAATTATAGATATTTAGCATATAAAATGTGTTTTGGGATGCGTAATTTCCTCCTTGTTGCAATATTAACAGAACAGAGAAAGTATAAGGTATGATAAGTGTTGATATGTGTAAAAAAGAAAATATAAGATAAGATAAGATAAATACTTGCATATATAATTATCACCCTCAATAAACATACAAGTATATATGAGAAATGTTAAAGCTTTTTGGCTATGAAAAAACCCATTTCGAAGAGCAATAACCTCGGCAAAAAAGGTTGAGCAAGATCTAAGGTCATGAGTTAATTCGACTAGCTAAATGGTCACCCAAGTGGTACCTAGTGACTACCCTAACCGCTCTGAGTATGAACAAGCATCTTTCCCTCTAACAAGCTTTTTACAAATATGGAGTGACATCTTTTGGTATGAACAAGATTGGCGTGTTCTCATGCACTCACTTTGTTGTATACCTAACGGTTTCAATAAAAAAAAAATAAAAAAAAAATACAGAAATTCTAAATTATTGCCTAGAGAGAAACATCAATAGACATCATGAGCATACCCAAGAAAATAGGAATCAAATCGGGAGAAAAAGTCAAAAATTGAAAAAAAAAAAAAAAGTTCGAGCGAACATTTTGTGAACTTTAAAACAATCATTCCCTTTTCATTTCTTATCATAAATGGGCATACGACTAGTTGTTTGAAAGCTATCAAAACAGGGTATCTTCTTTATCTTGAATTACCTCAAGATCAGTTATATATAGAGAGATATAAGCATTAAAATCATCCCTTTTCACTTCTTGATTTCAAGTCATAAACAACAATTGGTGACTCGGTGTGTTGGATCAACGGTGTGCTCTAGCTAGGAAAGGCTTGCGCTCTTGTTATTGTCGTGCAAAACCTCTTTTCTTGGATCCTACTAGTCTGAGATCCGTATTCAACAATTTATGAAGGGGTTGTTTAATACTCTAATCTCAATAAATTTATGGAAAATTTGTCAAAAAAACCTTCTAAATGCCACATTCTGTAAGAAAAAACCTTTTAAAAGGATCTTTGTTAAAAAAAAACCCACTGCGATCACAATGTTTTTATTTAATGAAACCTCTCCCCTCTTTTCAGACATTGACTCGAATTTTCAGTCGTTGACCCCTCATTTTCCCTACTTACACCCAGCTCTTTTTGTATTTGCACTCCCTAGTTTATTTCCATCTTATTTTCCCTCAAAAGTTGACGCCCCCTATATTTCTCTCCTTCCTCCATGGATGCTCTCCTCTCTCTCCTTCCTCCATGATTACTTTGCTCTACAATCACATCAATTTGGGTTTCTATATATCTCTATGTCCTTTGGTGCAAGCCATTAATGTTGCTACAGTAAACTAAGGTAAGTGTTAATAACATAATTTGTCAAATTGTTACTGCAAGTAGTGTAAAAATTGTGGCTTTGAACTCACTTAATTATTCACTATGTAAAGTCACATCCGCAATAATTCTTCACCATTTTACCTGCAAAATTAGCAACAACAACACAACTATTGGAGAACAGAAAGCAACGCACAAGAAGAGAAGTATTAGAGAAGAGAGAAGAACACGGTATTGAGTACTACAATGGTGAAGTAAGCACTACAATTGTGGAAGAAATAGATTAAGAACCCTAATTTACCTTTCAATTGATTTGATTTGGGAGAGATTTGCCCTAATTTTTCATTGGAGTGATTTGGGGAGGCTTGCCTTAAGTTTAATTACCCAACAATAGGTTGCAAGTAGGTAAAATAAAGGGTCAACGCCTGAAAAATCGAGTCAATGTCGGAAAAGAGAAGAGAGGTTTCATTAAACAAAATAAGTGATCGTGGTGATTTTTTTTTTTAACAAATATCCTTTTAAAAGGTTTTTTTCTTATAAAATGGGGCATTTAAAAGTTTTTTTTTTTTTACAAATTTTCCTGGATTTATTTATAAAAATAAAATGAAATAATCTAATGTTTCAAATAGCCAAAAAAATCAGTGAAAATTACCGAACATCCAATTTGAAATACCCAAAACATAAATTCAATTCGAAATTTAAAATTTTGAATCAGGCCAACCAACCCACAAATCAGTTCAACCCGATCGACATAATCGTATTTTTTGCCCACCTAGACAATTATGATAGTCCGACCCGGTGCCATATTTACCACGGAATATCGGCCGTATTATGAATTATTCGGTCATGCCTAGTTCAAAGACAGGCAACATTCTTCAAAAAAACAAAAGTCTTAAATCCCTCGTGGGTCTTCGTCTTCATCCTGGGTCCAACTTTACAAAGCTGACAGCTGACTCCTCGAAAGATAAATTGCCTATTTTTTATTAAAATAAAAATCAAAAATAAAAATCAAAAAGTAGAACTGTACTATACTACTACTACTAGACTCTGCTTTACTACACTTGAGTAATAATGCAAGTCGACGTCCTTCATCCTTTTCTCTCTCCTCTCAAATTCACTCCACAAAATCTTTGCTTTTTTTTTTTCTTGGATTTTTGAATAGTTCATCATAATTTCTTATCTGGGTCAAATTTGTATGGTTTGAAAATAAATCCCATTGCCCAGATTTTCGTATTTTTAATTGATTTTTATTGGGTCCACATTATTAATTTCCAAAACCCCAGATACCAAACCCCATCAACAAATGAAATTTTCAAAAACCCAGAAAAAATTCTGTGAAAAAACCCTACATTTTTGCTTCAGTATATCAATTTTTGCTCTAAATTTGCTTCATTTCTCATTGAGGAATTTATACAAACAGTTGGTGGGCATTGTGTAATTAATTACTCCGTTGAAAATTTCTGGGTTCAGATGTCATTTTCAGGCACACAAATTCTTCACCAGTACAAACTTTTTCCTCTTTAGCTGGTATGTTTTTTCTTATTGATTGTACATCTTATTGCCTAATTTATTTTGGAAAAATATGGCCATTAAAACCATAGGTTATATGATTTGATTGGGATATTGTCAATCTTAGTTTGCTCAACATTATGCTAATGAAAAGCTTTTACTCCAAGTACAAATTAAGTGTACAACATCCATTGTAAATCTCAGAGTAATTTGTGCCATCTTAAATAGTAAAATGCTCAATAGTTGCAGTTTTTTGGGTAGTTCAGCATTATTGCTTTGCCTATTTCTTGTGTCATTGCTGTTTTCAGTTGCTGTATCAGAAATTTCTCTGGGTTCAAAGCTGTCTGTTTCTGATTATAGATTGTGGGTTTCTCCAAATGGGGATTTTGCTTTGGGATTTTTCAATAATTCAGATCATGTAAATCAGTTTAGTTTAGGAATTCGGTTCGATTCGGACACTATACCTATTGATAAGAAGGCTGTAGTTTGGGTTGCTGGTGCAGAGCTAACTGTTAGTAATCAATCCTATTTACAACTCACACAGAGGGAAGGATTAGTTTTATTT